TATATTCAACGGTTTCTTGATAGTAAAAACGTAACAAAGGGAAGTAATCAAAAGTTAAACCCGATTTTGATTGGTTAGTTTGGATCTTGAATTTCGAAACTCGAATTTTGAATCTCGAATTTCGAATCTCGTATTTCGGAACTTGAATCTCGAATGAGCCCTCTAGGCTTTCGTACAAATCGCCAAAGTTTACACCCGCCAAGAAAACATCCTATACGGTATTCACATGTTTTTGCTCCGCAAATTTCGTATACATGTTGAATATGTTATACTGCTACTTAAAAACAGATGGAAATGTCTACATTTACAAAACAAAGACTGAAAATAACTACATTTATGAAGTATTTGCGTCTTATTCTGAAGAAGAATATCTGTGGATTTATCATACTTTGTATCAAAAATTAGAAAGTTTGAACATTAGGATGTGTCTCTAGTTACCGCGCCTAATGATGAGCCAATACATTTATGTAGAAATAAAGTCTATAATTCCTTTTCTGAAGAGGAATATGCATTACAAATTTTGTTTACTATATACTTTAAATGATATAGAGGGAAAAATTATGTTTGGTGTCAGTAAAAACCTAGATTTTTTTGCATTAAAAGTGGAAACATTGCACAAATCTCAAAGATTAGGTTTTTAATTGTAATATTTTCGGGTTTTGTTTCAATAAGAACTTAGACTTTAATTTATCCATAACATTTGTCTGTTTCTGCTTGGTTCTATTGATTGCTTATAATTGTTCATTATTAATGTAAATGATATCAACAAAACCATTGGCGTCATAAGGAATGACGTCATGCAATCTGAATACGACTATATGAAGTTGTCCTCCACTGTGTCGTCTCTGGAGGTGTTCCGAATGAATGTTACCAGGAATAAATGCGGTAGATTCTATATTTTTTTTTTCAAAAAATATACCTTGTAACTAAAAACAATGTACCTTAAAAACTAATGATAACTTTCTATTCAAATGAATTTTGATAATTTTTTCTGTTTTCTTCTTTTTTTAATGTTAAAATGGACAATTGTTAATATTACTTTATTACGATTTTGTTCTCTTACACTAGGTAAAATAATATTCACACTACTCTTAACTTGTAGACTTGTCTCAAAGAATAGCGTTCACTGCTGGAGTGACGTCTGATAGCAGCTCATGGAACAGTGGCACCCTGGTGTACAATAAAGTCATCAACAACGTGGGAGGAGGATATAACCCGAGTACTGGAATCTTCACCGCACCAGTAGAGGGAGATTACGTGTTCTACGTCAGTATTCAAAGTTACGGTAGTAAACATATATTAATAGATATTGTATTAAATGGATCTAGTAAGGTCCGAGCAACTGCCTACTCCTACACCTCAAACGAAGCAGAAGATGTTGGCACAAACCTTGTAACATTACGACTACAGAAGAGGGACAAGGTATGGGTAAAACATTACAGTGGTACAGGTTATGACACTTACACTGACGCACCTAGCGTTACGTTTTCTGGATTTCTGATTTGAATTATCATTTAAGTTGACTCTATTTAACATAGAAATTATGACATAACTGTATTTATCTACAAATGTATCATTATAGCTTTGTCATTCAATTAAATTGAGTTAATTAGGACTATATGTATTTGATTTGTATTAAGAGAATAACATTTTATATTTCACTTAATATATTTTTTATATGTTTAACATGGTAGTATTTGATTTAAAATTGTGTATGATAATAATGATTTCTTTTGATAATACTAGATATTATTTTTATCATGTATTCCAAGCTCTCTGATTGGCTCAAACTTGATCACATGAATAAGTATATAACAGCATTAAGACTTGTGTTTGTGTTTATAGAATTTGAAATGCATATCGACTCGTAAAATGGAGATTAAAATTTTCCGTAAAACGAATATAGTCCCGATTTCACAATTATAGCTAATACGGTGTATGACTTGATGTTTCTGAAAAAATATGTACTTTAGCTTATATTAATTTTTCACATGTATATGAGGATTGTTTTAGAGGGTTTTAGTCTTTTTTAATTCAACATTCTTTCTCCTATGATATTCACAGTAGAATTATTCATTAGAAAATTTTCTTTGAGTGTCTGCTACATAGCCGCGAAGTAAGGAATTGTTCATTATATCGCAGCTTTGGATCCCACTGAGGGACGTGGAGACCGGTCCTTCTGATGAAACCGTATAAACCGAGGTTACGTGTCGTAGTAGTTGCTAGTACTAAAAGATACCTCCCTGCTCAGTGGCCTTAAGTGACGAGTATAGATAAAAATTTGCAGATATTTCCATCTGCTAGTGAGGGCGTCTTCATATATATGAGTGAAAATTTTTCGAGAGGGATGTTTAACAATATATCAGTGGAAAATGATACGTTATACAACATAAAATGTACAATCAATCAATTATTGCAACAATGCTTGACAAGCTTTGCCCAAAACAATTGAGGAAGCAAATTAACCATGATGCAATAGAAAAATATCCACAGTTTATAAGAAAAAAGCCTTTAGAGTAACTAAAATGATACAACATTGGAAATTTTGCATATTTTCTGTTTGGTTAGTATGACAATCTGAAAAAAAGCACAGCAGTTATTACTGGTTAACTGTGATATTAATGATTATTAAATTGCGATTATTGCCGAGAACAAAGAAATGTCGTGGACATTATTATCTAATAAATTACGAACGAGATCAAAAAAATTATCAACTCAGAAACACGTATGAAACCTGTACAACTCAAATTGACTGTAGAGTGAAATACTTTTTTGTACCAAATCGATGTGTCGTCTTTTGCAGTCTGAACACTGTAAATTGCATAACGTTGCTGGCGAATATGGGGTTTTATAGCGAAGCGGAACTGTTTCACGGACCTGTCTACGCAGTTTAAAAAACTTGACTTGGTCCTTATTAAAGCAATGAAATAGAAACATCATTTTGATATTGTGTATTCATTAAAATTAAACAATTTATATTAATATAATTGTAATTAAGAAGGCTATTAGAGTAGCTTGGATTTTATTGTTTGAACTTCATTTTTTGTAAAAATCTTAGTCTTTATCGGTCGCCGAAAGTGCGCATGGGCCAAGGTGAAATGCCATAAAATTTTACATAAAACGATCTGATTTAAATGATCATTTTTTTCATAAAACGGGTCAAATATGATTAAAGATTAGCTATTCACAAATAAATCGTTTAACGCAATTTTCTGATACATGTAGTATCGCTTACTATGTAGACAATGGAAATATCAAGCGAAAACCGCAAAAAATGTATTTGAAAAATTGATAGAAAAGCGACGTCGACTATGGTTTAATATGCTTGAAACGTCGTCAGAAACAGATATTTATTCAAACAACCTGAATTTATAAGAACATACTGTAGACGTACTTTTTTCCACGGGGTCATAATTCCGATCTCAATTTCTGTCTAATCCGCGGGTAGAAAATTACGCAGATATCCTAGACTGTCACTATATGCCTTACATTTATATTAAGTACGCTTGGACAAATTTCCGTGGAAAATTGGTGACCGCGTACATAGCGTAAATTTATACCACGCGGAATAAAGTACTTCTACAGAATATTTAGTCCACTGATTTTTAATCGGTATATACGATCACCCTTGGACTTCCGGTTCAAGGACTTTCCTTAATGCATATGATACGTAAGACCATGCATGTTGAGGCTTTATCTAGTGAAATTTCGCATCAGCAACTCTTCATAAGCCATTTTCAAGTAGCCTTAGCATCGTTATAATATATAATAACTCCATAATATTGCCAAATGTTTTGTTAAACATGCAATTTTTTTTATTTCTGTTAAGCAGACTCAAACTTGACTTCCGGTTATGGTATGGAAATCGTTCATCCGTTAAATTACCGATGTTTTCCAAATTGAAGATATTCATAATTTCAGATACAAAATTCCTTACTTTACATATTTATTTCCCCCTAAAGTAGGGTGTTGCGTTTCTTTTGCGTATTAATATAATATGAGTGCACTCTCTGATCTAAAAATAAAACGTCTTTTAATCCTCGGAAACAATTGTATCATTTACTAGTTGCATATTTTAAATCAGACGTTGCTCTCTATATAATATATTTAGAATAGCTTTAAAAATTGGCTGTTTTTGTAGACTTTTTCAGAATATAAGGAAATTGACGCATTTCATGACGTCATAATGCATTGAATAGCCGGAAAATTACGTCATTTTTGATAGATACCATAGATCTAAATGATATTTAATGCATTGTTAACTAAAACTAAACAGTTTCATTTTTTTCAGAAATTCACAAGGCCATATAAAGCCATTAGTGGACATTGTTCTTATCTGTACATAAAACCTAATACCTGTGTCATTCAGAATCAAAGAAAGAGATTACGACGTACATGTAGCAAATCGTGACGTCATAATAGGGGTGTATTAACATGAATGTAAATTTTTTAAAAGCATTGGATTCATATTTTTAGATGTCTTCGGTCCTATAACACACCTGGCCGCGCCGACAAATTGAATACCGCGGTATGATAATTTGTCGGCACGGCCAGGTGTGTTTTAGGACCGAAGACATCTAAAAATATGAATCCAATGCTTATATTTACATTCTATAATTTTCCTTTCTTCTTCCTTGCTTATTTCGTTTGTCTTTAGTTAGGGAATAACTCTCTTCTAATTTGGTATTTGCGACCGTTATTGCTAATTTAACGGTATTTAAAAAGATATTTTTTGAGAAAAATTGTATCAGGAAATGTGCATATTCAAAGAAAAATGCACCTGCTTCATTCTGTCTTTTTTGTGAAAACTATCATTGCAGAAAAAATAATTATGTGTTTATCATTGAAGGGCAAGTTGGACGTAAATGGTCTCTGAAAGACTGTTGTTGATAGCATGACAAGTATAAAGACAAGACCCCTATAAAATCCGCCATTTGCATTGTACTTTCACTTTCAAGTCTTAACATTTGGACAAAATAAACAGGGAAAACAACATTCCAGAGGCTATCCAAGTCCAACTTACCCTTCATTGATAAACATATTTTGTTTCTGCAATGATGGTTTTAACTAAGATCGCTGAATTATAATTAGGTGTATTTTTTGAAAATATATGCATTTTTAAGAAGATTTTTTCTAAATTAATATTTTTTCCAAGTATATTTTTTTTATCAATTGATACTTTCTATATGTTAATCAATGAAAAATACATAAACTGTAATAGTTTTAACTTTATACCTCACATAGTTTTGGGGCTATTGTAAAAATAAAATTTTGGACATGTTGACCTTTGACGAAACCTTAATACAAGTTCTGTAATGCAGCTCTGTGATGTTCATCCCATTATTATCCCATTTTCGTGTATGAAGGGTTATGTGGGCTATAACTTGTATGTAAACTTGCTTTCTATATTAATGTGTAACTTAATGTGTTTTGCAATTTTGTGTTATGTAGGTCCCGTTATACGTCATCCGTTCCAAATTATATGTCTTACAATTGTGTGGCTATGGTCTAAAGTGTGTGGGGCACTTAGGAGCCTGAGGATACTAGTATACTTCGTACAATGAATTGCAATTGATTAGAATGTGAAAACGTTTCTGAGTCTTTTTATTTGAAAATAAGTAAAGAACCTCATGCGGCCATGCACCATGTGTCAAACCCTGACTACTATTTAGGCATAGTGCATTGAAAGTCACTATTGTTATTATTATGCTGACTGTTGTATAAAACTGACAATATATTTTCTCCATTTCCAGTGTTTCATCACATTATATACACATTCAGTGTAATTGTCCTTATGAAATCCATCAGAAATCCACGACGTTCAAATTTCTATAACACACGCGAAACCTTGTCACATACACAATAGGAACTACCGTATATACTCGCCTATAATTCTTTTAGGGGGGTTATAAACTTTCGTCCAGAAGTCTATGTCCGACTTATAGGCGAGTCATCAAAAGACTGTTGTTTTGGACAGTGAAACGTAATTTTCTATAAACATTTTCAACACTTATTGTTTAACAAAGTCTGGATATATTAAATATTCATGTATTCTAATGCCCAGTACACACAGAGAGTTTAATTCGAATTAAACGTAAGTTTACTGCGAATCAGCTTCGCTTAGCGTTCACATGGAGAATTTAATGCGAATTAGTTTACTTTGCATTAGTTTACTGCCCATTAAATTACTTCGCATTAGCTCCATGTGAACGCTAAGCGAAGCTAATTCGAATTAAATTTTGGGGCATGCGTAATGGCAAAATCAAGTCATATGCGTCATGTCGGTTGACAGCTTTAAGTACTGGTGCTATTTTTGAGTGAAAAACTAAGAAAAAATGTGTTAATCACTAAAATATGTCTCCAGACACTGTGCCATTATGTCAATGCATGTGCTTCTGCATAATATGACGTGATTTGCAAATGACGTCATACAAGCCTTTCTCACGCCTGACTGTCGAAGTGAAATTTTGATTCGCATTAGTTAAATTTGCAACAGCTGTCGTGTGAATGCAATTAATTCGCATTAGTTTGATTTGCATTAGTTTACTTCGCATTAACATACTGCGAATTAAACTTGTCGTGTGAACAGGGCAT